TTCATTTACATATGTTCTGACTAAATAAATTTCTTAAGAGAAAAAATAGATATTATTATAAATAAATAATAAATATTATTATAAATAAATAAATAAAAATAAAGAAAAAACATAGCCATTTAGCTGATTTTTTCATGTAAAGGCCAAAAATGGTGATTTTTTGAAATGATTGTATGGGGAACCCCCCAGGGGAGTTCCAGGGGGTGTGCCACTGGCATGGGTGGATCGGCCGTCCAAAGTTAGTGGGGGTCGGTCATACATTTGGACTCGATTGGAGTACTCTAAATGGGTCAAAGTGGGATTTTTCAAAATTTGCCCCTACCCAAAAGTTCGACCCAAATTGGCGGACATCAGAATTCGTTTTAGAGGTATGGTTCCTTCGGCAAAGTTTCTTATTTTGATCCCTAGAATACGATTTTCACAGAGCAATGCGAGAGCCCTAGTGAGCATCTATACTAAGGGTATACAAATGAGTATTTTAATACTCGATACCTTATTTGGTGGTTTTACTCGATACTTTGCAAAGTACTCGTAGTATCGAAAACTTTTTAAAAAACACACTTTTTAAATTTTTTCTTCCATTGGCAACCCAATTTTCTTTGCTTATATGCAAGGTTCATAGAATACTAGGTTACGACATCAGCCATGGCCGCCATCTTGATGACGTAGATGGCTCAATTTTTGGAGTTGCCAGATTTTTAAAAAATTATCTTATAAAAATACACTATTTTAGTCAAAAATACATCAAGTTTTCTTCAAATATGTGTAACCCTGATATTTACCGTTTGACAATTTGCGTTGAAGCTTGTGCTTTTTTCTGCGTATTTGATTTTATTTAAATTATTAAAAATTTAAGTGCGCTATTTTGATTGCAAAAATTACACTGAAAAAGGTAATTTAGGTTTTACCGTATGCCTAATGATGAATTGCAATTTCGGTAGCGAAATTTTGCCAATTTTGCTCACTTTCAAGAATAACATCACCAGCAAATTTCAATAAGCATTCGATTTACATTTCATTTGTCACTATTGTACGAATATTATTATGTTAATCCAGTTTCACGTGAAGTTATAACATTTTATGTTGTTATAATAAGCTTTGTCACGATTTTATATCAAAAACCCCCATTTGATTAGGATTCCTAAAATATGCTATACGGCAACTATATTTTCTGCGTTTTGTGTACTCTCCATCTTCTTAAAATATTTCAGCCAATCAGAACTCAATTCGCAACTACGTCATTGGAGGAAAACAAATTTTTGACAGTACCATGTCGTAACCTTCTATTTTATGAACCTTACTATCGTTCAATTTTGTCCATCACTTAAAATAAACTGAAATTTTGTGTAGTCTGTTGCATAACAAAAACCAAATAAGTTAAAGTTTAATGGCCTTATTCGTAAAAAATAAAGTAGGTTTAAAGAGCTTAATAAATTGACATTTTTTAGTTTATAAACCTTTTTTATTTTTTATGAATAAGGCCATACAACTTTACGAAATGTTCACGAAAATGCAGAATTTTTAGAAACCTTTTGGGTATGCAGTTTTGTAACCTATTCAACTTTACGTGTAGCCTACTACCGTTGACTTTTAATTCAAACTTGCACACTATTATATTAAAATTGAATAGGCTACAAAAATGCACACCCAAAAAGTTTACAAAAATGTTTAATAAAATTTTATATTCGTGAAAGTATATATATATATATATATATATATTAGACTGCATCACCAAAAAAAGTTGCGGTTTTTCCGCCGGGATTACAAAATGTATTATATTTTAAGACGTCCACCAAAATATTTCGGAAAAATATTAAGATTTAAGCGAGCTGTACCGATTTGAAATTAACTCCAAAAATGGAGTTTTTTATGAATACGAATAGTTTCTTAAAGAACTTTTTGAAAAAAGTCCCCTCATATGACAAAACAGATTAGGCTTAAAAAATCTGCTTAAAAATATTTAAAAATCTTTTCAACGGAATCGTAATAATGAGATTTTTGATGCTGTTTTTTTACTTTATTCAAAGATTGATTTACGAAAAACTTAAATAACTGGGCCAAAACTATTCTGATTTAGACTTATGGGATCTTGGTAGAAAGGTATTTGCCCACTCTTTTTATTTGTATGCAAAAAAAAGTCATTCGTGTCCCATTTTTTTTTCAAATACCAACACATCTTAATTCAACTTTGAATTATGTTCGTTCAGCCTATCTTTCTCTTTCATCCTTTGAATCAGCTTATTAGCAAAGAAATTAAAAGGGTGAGAAAATGCCTTTCCAATGAAATTTTTATTTATTTTTTTTTAATATTTTTATGTAAATTTTTTAAGCTTAAACCATTTTGTCATTTAAGGGGATTTTTTCAAAAAACATCTTTAAGAAACTATTTTTATTCATAAAAAACTCCATTTTTGGATGTATTTTCAAATCGGTCCAGCTCACTTAAATCTTAATATTTTTCGGAAATATTTTGGTGGACGTGTTAAAATATAATAGATATTATAATTCTAATGGAAAAATAGAACCGCTTTTTCTTTGTATGGGGAGCGATGCAGTCTAATAAGTATAAAAACACATAAATCGCAGTGCACTCTCAGATTACTTACACACAAAATACATACACACACATGATAAGATCACAACAGCACCCCTTATGCTACTAAAGACTTTAGGGGTATTCTCGAAGTCTCGCACCATGCACCGATTGCACGAAATGCAAAAATACTATTCCAAATTTCGAAGAGTACGAGAGCACCACATTGCAAAGTTGAAGCATGCATGGGTAGCAAGCAGCGAAATTATGTATCAAATACAATAACAAGAGACAGCAAAAAAAAAATGAAGTGAGCGAGATGAGAGGAATGAGAGAAATATGTAGCAATTGCAACAACAAAACAACTAGTACAGGGTCGCATTTATCTTGCTATGCTTTTTTGCAAAATATATACCTGGGTTTCGATCTGGCATATCTTGCAGCGATAGGAAATGTTGTTTCCGATGTATTTTGTTGTGTGTTTGCAAGTTATGCAATCCATGCAATCCGTGCTTTGCAAGATTTGGGGAATACCCCTATAGTCGTAGAATGATTGTATACTCAAGTGCAAAGATGTACATGGAAACAATAAAATATTTAGAGGATCAATGCATTAGTCCCTTATCTCATGTAGATAAAAGGGCATATTTACAGATACAAAAATAAATATACGCACTTGACAAAAACATGTTAAGTGCAAATGCAGCAATATCGATATGCACACCTAAATAAATAATCACAACATACATCATACATGTAAATATATAGATACATACAAACTTCATTTAGTACATCAGGAGCTGTAGAAATTAAATCACGTCAGAATTAAAATAAATTCTCATTTGTTAAGAATAAACTTGTTGTCTGTCTTGTATCACCCCCACCCGAGGTAAGAGATATTAGATACACCTACAAGTCTGTACATACCGAATATATCATTACCACCTTAACGAGTAACAGTAATTTTCTCCCGCGAAAAGTGCATACGTTTTATCAAAAGTTCAATAAACCTTTCTACCATGGAATTAACAAATGTTTATAAATAAAAGAACTTTACGTCAGCTGATTCGAGAGTAATTTTAACCAGAAAAAGAATAAGGGTCGTTCGAAGTTGAAAGTGTTACCGAGTTACCAGATATCGAATTAATACATTAACGAGGATAGTATGAATACCCTTATTGTTTACATATTTTTCTATGCGTTTTGGCATTTCTCTCTCGCAATTGCACCAAGATGACGTCACGCAAAAATTACGCTCAAAAATCCTCCCTCATAGGCGCAATCTTGTATTCTATCATTCTTGGGCATCATCGATAACTTAATATGTATGCGCTTCTTTTGTGGTGGAGAAAGGCAATATATTTTATCATTATTATTCTTAAGCGCAAACACTTCCATGCCACATCAATTTGGAACCATTCAGTAGCGGACCTCGCTCTGAGATGACAACAACTCTATGCAATAACCACCGTTCACTGATCATATCGAAAAAATCGGTGAATAAACTATAAACGTTACAAATGACTTATGAACCAAAAGAGATTATTGTGAGGTATCAAGGTCAATATGGCATCAGTTAGATAGGAAAGAGACTAGATGTTCTTTACCTCAACAGCCCTGTAGTAATAGTTCTTATCAGCTCCACGACAGGACACAGTTATTGCATTAATTCTCCAACAAATTCCCTTTGTAAAAGCTGCCGCAATGAAAACGATGGGGAACCATTTCACCACTTTCTGAATCGATGCCTGTATTGGAGGTGATTCAAATACCAAGGGTCACGCTTCTTCCCCAGTCTGATAGTGTTATCGAAGGTTGAACTCTTAGTCCTCCTTAATTTATTTTGAGATAACAAGTGGATCAGCAGGTTAATGCCTTGATTAGTCTTTCTTTCCTCTTTATAATCGAACAATTGGGATTGTGTCTTCTCCTGATACTCACTCACAGAGGGCAACCACAATGGAAAACCATGCCTGCAAGTGGAAGTATGGAACTTTTTATACACGCCCTTTAAACCTTACCTTACCTAGGCTAGATTTTTAGAGCTTAAGGGTGTGCCATATTTGACAGATTCGACGAGGTTCTAGAACATGGTGTACTTTCTAAAGTATCTTTTTAAGATAGAAGTAAAAATTGCTTACACATATGTATATATGTATGTATATGTACTATATGCATATTTATTTCTTTGATTTTTGCAGAATTCGAGCGGACTCACTACCCAGATGTATTTGCACGCGAAAGGCTAGCAGAAAAAATTGGTTTACCCGAGGCACGTATTCAGGTTTGTCTTTTCATTTTTATTTTGACTTTGAGTGGCTACTTTTGAGTTCTTGCTTTTTATTCTCATTTCTGTTTGATTTATTTCCGAGTGTTGAATACTAATTAGGCTAGTATGATGAGATGCGATATACGGACTTGGACAAAAAACTAATGGCACGACATTTCGGCCATATTTCTTTGGTTTATTTATAATAATAATAATAGTTTGGCGCTTACACATATGCTAGTGTTTGACCGAGCTTCTCCTCTGATTTGTGGCGTGCGCCTTGCTGTTATCACACAAAGTGGACAGTTTACGCCCAGTTTTACGCCGAACAACGATTGTATTTTTATGAGAAGCTGTTTTCAGGCAGAAATACAATCGGATGTCTGCCATTAGCTGCCGACTGGCGACCGCTGTTAAGAAAAAACCGTGTATGGATATCAATAAAATGGATATGGATATCAATAAAATTTCCAGGGGTTATTTCTTAGGCATTTGGTCTCAACATAGGCTACCAAATAACTCGCTAGGTGGCACAGGGGCCGATATATTTAGGAACCCCGTATTTATGGTCTGATAAGGCTCAAATTCATGATGTCCGGATATTACTTGCGAAGTAAAAGATACTTTTGCAAATAATGGTGCTGATAGTTCGCGCCGGAGTAGGAGTTATTTAGGTTTATGCTATACGAATTAATTTTTTAGATGGTTAAATGAATATATGGTCGAGACATTCATAACGGGTATTCCTTTTTGGGAACATTTTCGAGCTTAATTTATATGGAAAAGATGCGCAACACCGTCTGCAAAAAAATTTTAAATCAACGCGGGTTCTTAGCTGATTCTAAGATGCTATTTATTGTACTAATGACTGATTAAATCTTTTGCGTTGGACATGCAAAAATAGTGTTGAAAACCACGAACGATTCGTAAAGTAAAAAATTCTTATACGTATAAGGTTAAAACGACTGAAGTGCAGAACCTTCCTCATACATAAATAGGCCAAGCATAAAACCGCTGTGATATCATACGTAATACTAATCGTTTTCGATGGTATTAGTTTTGCCGATAGTCTTATTTCCACCTGTGAGACCTCTGCAAAAATATTTCACTTAAAGCGTGCGTAATCTTCTTCTATGATCTTGTAACTACAACATTGGTCCCGGATAAGTGCGTTCTCTTACTTAAACACCGTTAAAATGGGACCATTGATATACGTATGTATGTACCTACCGTGCTGCCTTCTTACTAAGATGTGGTCGAATCTTTCCTTGCAAATACGTTGCTTTCGATGTCCGGGCTTCCAAGCAGCTATATTAATTAGCATTCAGTAAGAGAATTCGCATTGTCAATGTGTGAGCGGAAAGCTTTTCAGGCTTCCCGACTGCCACGAAAAATAAAGATTCGTTTGTACTCTTAGATCTAAGAGCTCGCTCCGTGCTGCATCCCAGATGAAAAACGTTTCTTCTTCATACATCCGTAGTCCGTTGATGTGTCTGGGATATCTGAATGGCCGAGGTTCCCTTTATCCATGAACTAGCTTCTTTATGTCTTGCTGCTTCAAAAACGGGCACACTGACAAATTTGATCAAGCGGATCGCATTTAGAGTGCATTCGGGCGTGAGAGAAAAGGGCGCATACAAAATTTTGTACTTTACATTTTTAACCTCATCTTTCATTTAGCCATGTAAACAGTAAATTCGTATATTATGAGCAGGTCCGAAAAGTTTACGGTTTTGCTTGGAGTTGCTTATTTTGCTTATTCAGGGTTTCCAAGCCTAATTTTAACGATCATGCTTATTTTGCTTATTTCATTGTATAAAGATAAGTTCGGACCTTTTAAGTAAAGAGTCAAGAAATAAATTGCTATTATTTCGTTTTACAGCCTGCTGTCTCACTTTTTCCTTATGAAATAATGGAACATGGATGGCATATATTTCTGTTGAAAACAAGGTTACCTTTTACCCTTCACAAACAAACTTTAGCAAATCATTGTAGAAAGCGTAGCAAATTTCTTAAGAACTTCGTACTGCTTAAGGAAATTTGGCTCAACACATTTTTCTTTACCGTTTCTTGGGCTTTTTATTTGTAGAACTAAAGATATGTTTACAAATAATAAAATAAAAACAGATTTGGTTTTTATTAACCCGTAACTTTAATTGCATTTCTGCTTGGATACAAAAATTCAAAACCAAGGGTTGGTCTCTACGGGAAGGCATTGTGTTTTCTTTTATTCCTCAAGCTAAAGAAATGTTTACAAATAATAACATAAAAACAGATTTGGTTTTTATTATCCCGTAACTTCAATTACATTTCTGCTTGGATACAAGAATTTAAAACCAATATTTAGTCTCTACGGGAAGGCATTGTGTTATTGAAGAGCATAAAAATAATTTATCCCAAGTGGAGGATAACGAACATTTAAAAAAAATTAAAACGACCAGCGCAGATCTCTTTTATTTGAGAATATCAAGCAACACACATGGGCATACCCATTGTTATTTTTTTTATCCTTGAAATAAACTGAATAAAAAACAAAACATTGAACTGCACTTAAATTTTGTTGTTTTGGGAGAAAATTCGCAAGCATATTTACCAATGTTTTAGTGCTTATCTAAGCGCTTAAAATGGATTTTTTTTTGCTTATTTTCTTCGGCCATGATCATAAGCAAAGCGCCAAAGTAATAGATACGGAGTTTATAAATATCCAGCGCCTGAATTTTTTCAAAAGCATTTCTTATCTTAAAATTAATACCCAATATTATTTTCAACCAGATCAACCAATAAATACCGAGTTTCTAAATATCTCGACTCCAGGGACTGGATACTGTAACTGTGAGAAAATGTAGTGTACACCGAACGCAAAACTTATAGCCAGGATCAGGATTTTAAGGCATTGGGTCGTATCTGTAAACAAGTTACAGATTTACACGTTTCATGTCTTCCTTGACTAAAAATATAAATTTTGTTTTTGCCTTTTTTGATTATATTTACTTTTTCTGCCTTTTTAACGTCATCTCTTCATTTTCATACTTCTATGTCTTACAACACTGGAAATCGTTCCTTCATCTGATTGATTGTTTTTATTCACCTTACGTAGGAAGGACATGGTGAATTCATATAAGGTGATGTACAGGCGAAATTAGATTTTCGTACTGATGTCATGATGTGTTTATTTACGTTTGTTTTGTTCTTGTTGCCATTGGGGGTATAATTGGTTAGTGTAGTTTTTTGCTTTTATGCCGGTGCTGCCACCTTAAATGGATTCGCCTGTGGTGGTGAGTTTCCGTATTTTGTTTGTAAGTCAAATATTTGCGAATATTTAAAATGCCTAAGGCCGATTGTTACAATTCCGTGAAAATCCAGGGCTATATATTGCTGAAAAATCGTCATTTTACCTTTAAAAAATCGTAATTTCGGCCAAAAAAAACGAAAATTTTTGGTTATAATACTAGAAGAATTGGAGGAAAACGTACATTTGACTGCTGTGGAATAACAGTAAACCACGACAAAAAACACCACAACCTATTACTTAATTGTTAAATAACGACGAATCGAACGAGCTTTGAAGTGGAGTTTAGTAGCTGTAGATGTGGAGATGAACTTTAGTTCTTTCAAATCAATGATTCGCGATAATTGCATGAGGCCTGCAAATTTTAAAATGCACTTCGTGGCATTGAGCTACTATGATAACACAGCCGAGTAATCATAGTAAACTTATGTGCAGAAGTCGAAAAAATTACAGCCGCACCAAATTTTGATAAGTTTTAAAATATTTTTGTTGATATTGAATTTTGGTTAGTTTGTTTGTAAAAATATAGTTCATTCTTTAAGAACATCCGTGTAAATATAAGTTTAAAGGGAATGCCACACGAATGGTCATTTGCCCAAAATTTGGTGCAAATCTATCCCAATTGTGTGAATACCCAAATATTTTTCTTTATCCCAATCTCGAAAAATAATTTGTACAAATTTTTCATAGAAGATCGCTGTATTGTAGAGCTGGAAAACTATCTATGGCACTATTGATAGTACCATCGATAGTGTCGTTTTTAGGTTGTTAGTATCGATTGTTGTAGCCGCCATCGAAAGTCTTTATGACTATCGATAGTTTCTTCTCTATTTCCACTATTTCATTAAAATTTTAGCTTTATTGGTGCAAAGGCTTTTTCGTTTAGATACATATGTGTGGAAGTATGTAAATAATGCGAAAAAGTTCATATAAAAGTGCAACCAGCGGCTACGATCGGAGTAGATTTACTCCGATTTCTCTTTTAAATTTAAAATCTACTCCCTACTCCATTTGACCTACAATATGCTCCGATTTTTTTACTTTTTTCCATTCACATTAAGAATATATTACAAAATAATTAAGTTTTAAAATTTTTGTTCAATAACTTCTGTGGCACCAAGATTTTGTATAGCAAGGTGGAACAGAAGTTGTCTATTTTACTCTTTAACCTTTTTTTGCGGAATCACTTTTTTATTTTCCAAAGCAAGGGACTGATTATGGACCAGAAAAATGTTTTGGAAAGGTGTATGTTTAGCAATTTGGCAGAGTATAAGCTGGCATTAGCTATTTTACCGCGGAGATGAATCTCATTAAAAATAACATATAAAATGTCCTATCTTTTCTTATATCTAGTACGTTATACATATACATGCTTTGCAATATTGTGATTATATTTGAAATTTATGTAGATATAAGCAAAATGATTAATAAACTGAAACTGAAAAATACAGGAACAGGCTTAATGTCGAAACAATTGAAAGCTTAATGTTCGCAAGAACTCTTATTAACAAAAGGTCAGAAATTTATACGCCGCACAGTGGTCGGATAAGGCATGTTTTACCCGAAAAGGCCTATTTTTAAACTGTGATAAATTAACTGGAGTAAAGCCATTCTTATTCAGAAATGTCTAGCGAACTCAAAANTTGTTCAATAACTTCTGTGGCACCAAGATTTTGTATAGCAAGGTGGAACAGAAGTTGTCTATTTTACTCTTTAACCTTTTTTT